GGCAACACAGAGCAGAAAGCTGGTGCCTGGACTCGCTGTTTTCAGCCAGCTTCCCCGCTCTGATGCCTGGAAATTCTGTTGCACTCAGGCATCCCTGTTCTTCTTGTGACCCCCCTGGGGATCCTGAGACCGGGCTGTCCCACCTAGGATTCTGCCCTGCTTTTCCACCTGAATACCTCTAAGCCAGGCGCATCCCCCACTGTAGCAGACTTCAAGAAGTTCCCATTTTGCACTCCTCTGTTTACAATACTTTACGGTAGCCTTCTTAAGCAGGCTCCCTCTCTCTGCCATATCTTCAGCTATATCACACTAGATTTAATCTCATCTCCAACCACTTTTCTACTTGTAGAACTTGCAGCATTTGCTTTCTCATATCTCTGATTTCTCAGGTGTTCAGAATGATTTGATAACTATCTAGTTGTATTCAAGGGAAGAGACCAATTTAGGGTTCGCCTCCCCCTCCACCATCTTAACTCCTCACTCCTTTGTTTCTTCTTGGTTCATGTTCTGGAAAATTATGTCTCTAGAAATTTATCCACTTTTTTCTAGGTTGTCCAGTTTGTTAGCATATAAGTTTTTGTAATATTCTCTTATAATTCTTTACATTTCTGTGGTGTTTTTCTCATCCTCCATTTCCCATTTTATTTGAGTCCTGTCTTCTTGATGAGTTTAGCTGTAAATTTATCAATTTTGTTTATCTTTTCAAGGAACTAGCTCTTGGTTTCATTGAACTTTTCTATTCTTGTTGTGTGTGTGTGTGTGTGTGTTTTATTTATTTCTCCTCTAATCTTTATTATTTCCTTCCTTCTACTAGCTTTGAGCTTTGTGTGTTTTTTTCTAGTTCCTTTTGGTGTATAAGGTTAGTTTTTTTTTTAAATACGTTTTTTTTAAATTGTGTTGTCACCATACAGTACATCATTAGTTTTTGATGTGGTGTTCCATGATCCATTGTTTGCATGTAACACCCAGTGCTCCATGCAATATGTGCCCTCCTTAATGCCCATCACCAGGCTCACCCATCCCCCCATCCCCTCCCTTCTAAAACCCTCCGGTTATTTCATAGTCTCTCATGGTTCATTCCCCACTCCCAATTTCTCCCCCTTCATTTTTTCCCTTCTCCTAATGTCCTCCATGCTTGAATATTGTTTCTTGATATAGGCCTGAATCAGTATAAACTTTCCTCTTAGAAGTGCTTTTTCTGTGTCCTAAAGATTTTGGACTGATGTTTTCATTTTTATTTGTCTTCATGTATTTTTAAATTTTTTTTATTTGTCATAAGTTGTTATTTTTTGGCCTCTTTTTGGCCTATTTTTTTGGCCTACTTTTTTCTAGTTTTTAAAATTGTAATTGATTTCTGGTTTCATATCATTGGGGTTAGAAAAGGTGCTTTAGATATTTCAGTATTCTTAAATTTCTTTAGACTTGTTTTGTGGCCCCACATGTAATCTATACTGAAGAATGTTCCATGTGCTTTGAAAATAATGTGTATTCCACTCTTTGTAGATGGAATGTTCTATATGTAGCTGTTAGGTCCCGGTCTAATGTGCCATTCAAGGACAGTTTGGTTGTTGATTTTCTGTCTGGATGATCTATCCATTGATGTTAATGTGGTATAAAAGTCCTTACTATTATTTTGTTACTTTCACTTTCTCCCTTTATGTCTATTAATATTTGTTTTATGTATTTAGGTGCTCCTATGTTTGGTGCATAGATGTTTACAATTGTTATATCCTTTTAATTGATCCTTTTATTGTTATGTAATGACCTTCTTTATTTCCTGCTACAGTCCATTTAAAGTCTTTTTTGTGTGATATAAGCAATGCTACAGCTTTTCTTTTTTTTTTTTCTCCATTGGCATATCTTCTTCCATCCCTTCACTTTTAGTCTGTATGTCTGATGTAACTCTCTTGGAGGCAGCATATAGATGGGTCTGGTTTTTCTACTTATTCAGTCACCCTCTATCTTTTGACTGGAGCATTGAGTTCATCTACATTTGATGTAATTATTGGTAAGTATTGCTAAGTATTTATTGCCATTTTGGAAAATTTTCTCTTGTTGCTTTTGTAGTTCTCTTCTGTTCCTTTCTTCTTTTGATGTCTTCCCTTGTGGCTTGATAGCTTGCTTTCATTTTTGCTTGGATTTATTTGTGTGTGTGTGTGTGTGTGTTTACCATAGGTTTTTTATTTGTGGTTTTCATTACATTCTCATAACATCCTATGTGTATAGTACTCTATAATAAACTGATGGTTATTTAAGTTTGAGCACGATCTAAAAACACTAAATTTTAAATTCCCTCTCCCTGTTTTATATATATATATTTTATAACTTTTTATTTTGTATATCCCTTGACTAATTTTTGTAGATGTAATTAATTTTACTACTTTGTGTTTTAAATTCCACACTGGCTATTTATAAGTAAGTAATCTGCCTTTTCTATCTGATTGCTTTTACCTGTGAAATTTTTTCCTTTTATACTTTTCATACTTCCAGGTATGGCCTTTTCTTTCCACTTAAAGAATTCTCCCTTCGTTTCTTGTAAGGCTGGTTTAGGGTTGAGGAACTCCTTTAATTTTTCTTGTCTGGGAAACTCTTTCTCTCTCCTGTTCTAAATGATAGCTATGCTGGCTAGAGTGTTCTTTGTTGTAGGTTTTTTTATCACTTTGAAGATACCATGCCATTCCTTTCTGGCCTGCAGAGTTTTGCTGAAAAATCATCTGACAGCCTTACAGAATTTCTTTTGTATATAATTGTCTTCTCTTGCTGCTTTTAAATCTTTATCATTACTTTTGCCATTTTAATTATTATTAAAAGACAAACCTGAGTTTATCTTCCTAGGGAATCTCTAGGCTTCCTGGACCTGGATGTCTGTTTCCTTCCCCAGCTATTATTTCTTCAAATAAATGTTCTGACTCCTCTCTTTCTCTTCTTCTTGTGGGACCCCCTTAATGTGAATGTTAGGACATTTGATGATGCCACAGAATCCCCTTAACCTACTCTTTTTTATTCTTTTTCCTTTTCAGCTTGGTTGCTATCTATTACCATTTTCCAGATTGCTGATCCATTTTTTTTCCTACATTCTTTCATCTGCTATTGATTCCCTCTATGAATTTTTCACTTCACTTATTGAATTCTTCAGCTCTGACTGGTTTTTTAAATTTCATATCTCTTCATTAAGGTTCTTAGTGAGTCCATCCACTCTTTTCTCCAGTCCAATGAGTATCTTTATGACCAATATTATCTCTGTTTTATTTAGTTCTTTTACTGTGATTTTGTCTCGTTCTTTCATTTGGGACACTTTTCTCCGTCTCCACATTTTCTCCAACTCTGTGCCTCTGTGTATTTGGAAGGTCAGCCCTGTTTCCTGTTCTTCAAAGTAATGGCCTTGTGTAAAAGGTCCTGTGGTGCCCTGTAACACGGTCCCACCTGGTCATCAGATTTAGGCACTCTAGGGTATCCCGTGTCATCTGTGTACACTCTCCTTTTGTGACTGAGCCATGAATGTCTCCAGCTCAGCTGTCTGCAATAACTTGCTTTGCTTTGCCTACTCTGAATGCATTGGGCAGTTTTATTCTCTGTGCTGTTGAGAGGTCTGGCTGCAGTCACCCCAGGCTCCTTCATGGGCAAGGACGGTAGTCAGCCTAGCTGTCCACAGTTAGCCTTTCTGATACAGCTGCAGGCGCACCAAAGGGCAGTGTGTGCCCCATGAACAGACAGCTGAAAGGTCTGGCTGCTGGAGCTGTGAGTGTGCTGGTGAGGGAGCAGCCATCACATTGCAGGGGGCAGTCCTGGCCAGGGCTGCCTGCCAACTGAGGCAGGGCAGGCAGGTTGAACTGGGTGGTTGCACGGGAGATGGCCAGGGTGGAAGCATGCTGTGCTAACAAGAGAGATGGACAGTGTTAGAGGTGGCTCCTATAAGCATCTGGCTGTCTGGGCTGGAGAAGAGCAAGAAAAAATGGTGCCCACCAGTACTTTTGTTCCCAGAGGAATCTGCAGATCTCTGACATGCATTCTAAGATTGGTTCATAAATCTCCATCATGTACGCCCTAGGTGCTTATCAAGCTGTTGCTTCTATGCTGGCTCTTTAAGGACAGGAACTCGCTTTCCTATCACCCTTGGGCTCTTCCAGAGTGAAGCCCCAATAGTTTCCACAGCCAGACGTTATGGGGCAGTACGTGGTGTGGGGTCTGGTTGTCTCCTCCATGTTTGTGATGTCCCTCCTCTTCGCAGTTAGTTGTGCCAGGGGTCTGGTTCGCAACCATATCTCCACTCCTCTTACCTTTTGTGACATGGCCTTCTTTCTATGACCAGCTGTAGAAGATCTGTTCTGCCAGTCTTCAGGCAATTGTCAGAGTTCGTTTTATACGTGTAGCTGATGACTCGATGTGCCCATGGGATAAGGTGAGTGCAGATCCTTCTTCTCCATCTTCCGAATGTCTGTTTACTTTGATTCTAATAGTTCAATGGTTAGTAATTAGGGAGCTTTTTTTTTTTTTGCCAGAAAGTAGTGCCATAGCACAAGTTCTTGGTTTCTCCTATGGGAACGGACTTGCTGCTAAGGTTCTGAGTGCACACATTAAAAATGTGCTAGCAGACTGGAGGTAAGTGTGTGTTTAGCACTTGTGGCTTTGGGCGTGGCCTGGTAGGACTATCTTCAAGGGGAAGGTCCCAGAACATGGAATTCCCACAACAGCGTGATGATCCCTCTGTCTTTGCTGATCCTTCTGACCTCTGACTCATAACAATGGTCATTAGGGAAAAATAAAAGGAGACAATTGGTGCTTCTTGTTTATGCTGTCAAAGTTGGTGATCAAAGGCTTACCTCTTTGATTTTTGGCTTGTTGCTGTCATGAACTACTCTACCACCTGGAAGGTGAGTTAGAGAGGGAGCTCTCCCAGCTCAGCTGAGTTCCTCCTGATGAAAGTAAGTACATTTTTCCATTCCTAAAACCACTGAGCCAAGTAGGGCTTGGGCTTAAAACAAAATAAGTTTTACTAAATTTGCTCCAAAATATTTTATTAATATGTTTTATATAAAAAAACAAAATAGAAGTAAGTTATGTGTTACACTGAATAACACACTGAAGGCATGTAGAAGGCTGTGTTTTCTAATTTCTCTAGAAAGTTGACCAGCCATGATTGGAATAAGGAGAAAGAGTACCTATCATAGTCACCATTTCTGGGGAGTACACTTCAAAGTACAAAAAGCACCATGGTAATTTTTAAGTGCAAAGAAAGCTCATATTAAAATAGACTTTAAAAATTACAAATAAAAATCTGTACATCAAGAATATTTTTCTGGCCTTTCCGTGTGCCTAGTACTGTGGAGAACGAGAGGAGGAACTGTCACATCAGGTGTTACAGGTCTGGCCCATTTCAGCTTGCAGCACCATCTCCTCTTTTCGCAAGGGGAAAGTGTCGATCAGGTTGAAGAGGGCCACAGGCATCACCAGGGAGACATAGCGCTCCTTGTCCATGCCATGCTTATCCACGAGCACCATACTGAAGGAGTAGAGTGGGATACGCAGCAACAATCTAGGGCAGACAGAGAGAAGACTGTCAAACCGGACTCCCAAGGGTTCTGTTGGACCAGCCAGAGCCCTATAGTGACACTGTGGGCAGAGAAAGGCTTACTACTGCAGACTTACTCATCTAAAGACCCTTGCTACTCATAGTATGGTGTTTGGACTAACAGCGTCACTGGAGAATCCCAGGCTCCACCCCAAACCTGCTGAAATAGATCCGAGTTATTAACAAGATTCCCGCAAATGAATGGTATGCGCCTGAAAGGGTAAGTGGTACCGCTTTATACCCATCAGCAAGATCCTGGGCCTCCCTTGGTGCGCTAGGTGCCAACAGTTACTACAGGGTGTGTACAACAGTCCTAATAGATCTTCTGCGTTAAATTGGAGTCAACCCAAATTTACAGACTAGGTCTGCACAACCAGGTGCATACTAGAACTAAGTCCATGGTTAATAGGGGTGATTGTGCCCTCTAGGGAATATCTGGCCATGTCTGGACACATTTTTCGTGGGCACAGTGGAAGGGGTACTTCTAGCCTCTAGCAACACAGGGATGCTGCTTAATGTCTTCAGACCCACTGGAAAGCCTCCCCCAAAAGGGAGTCAGCCAGCCCCCAAGGTCAATAGTACGAAGGTTGAAAAACCGTGGACTAGGCAAAGGTGATCGAAGTAAGCGTCCAAACAGTGTAATTGTGGCCCATTCTGGCTCACGCAGTAGCCAGCTCAGGACGGCAGTTAGAGGAGATTAAGCTTGGTCTATGCTCCAGGTCCAATAACTTGGTTCATTATAATCTGTACCTCAGATAATTCCCTCCCAAAAAAGTCTGATTTTTTTTTTCCTACTCTATCCCACTAGAATTTATCTTGTGGAAAATAATGATTTTTGTAGCAACAGAAGCGTGTTTCGACGAGCACTGCCAGGGAAAGCAAACAGGTCGATCAGCTGGGCCCACTCCGTCTCTTCTCGGTTTTACTTCTGAATTGACTTCGCTAGATGTTCTATGTAAGGCGGACCATACACTGCCATCTGTATTTAAAGTGAAATATTTTTCCTCCCACCCAAGGATCAAGGGGAAAATATTTGCTACTCAAAATCCAAACTGACGATACTTGCTTGTTTAAGAGAGTTTTGGGGAAGATGGGAATAATTTCCGTTTTATCTCAGTGGGAAGCTTAAATTGCTAATCTGATGCTAGTGGCTAGAAGGAAAGAAAGACAACAGTTAAATCTCTCTACCAGGTCTCCTGCGACAGGAGAGAGCAGCTCAGGTGGAGCTGACTGAGAAATGCATGAACTGAGTGGTTGTAGACCACGAAGTGGGTCAAAATGGAGATAAACTGCTCTGCATCTTTGAAAAGAGGAGTACTTAGGTTTTTCTAGAGGAGAGAGGGATGTCTTAATGCAGAATGGTCCCAGAGAACAAGAGTAGAAAAGAAAGCTGGTCTGGAGGGCGAAAAAGGCCACGTGTTGTGGCGGTTGGAGTCTGTGGGAAAAGGGCAACCACTGAGGAAACGTAGCATTGGATGCTCTAGTGCTTCTGAGGCTAGGGTGGCAATCTCTCATGGTGCCACCATCTGCTACCACACATGCTCCTCATGTGAGCCTTATGCCTTGATGGACAGAATATAAAGAGGAAAAACAACCATGGGAAGAAATGAGTGTTCAGGTCAGCAGGTGATCAACAGTCACTGGAAATGTATCCCACCATGCCCGATAGACCACAGAAATCTTGGAGATGGATGATGGGACACCCCACAGGCTGAGGGGTGTTGCCAGCAGTGTGCTGGAGTTACACAAATGCCTGTAATGAGCTCTTTCTGGAGAATCTTCTAGAAAACTCTGGAGACTCAAAAAAATACAGGCTGTTATGTTTCAAGATGGCAATGGAAGATCCTGAAGTCACCTCCTCACATGGACACAACAACTTTACAACTACATCTGGAACAGTTTCTTCTGAAAAAACAACAACAACAAAAAAACCTGAGACCAGGCAGAGCGACTACTGCATATCAGGAAATGAGAACAAAGCCACATTGAAGCAGGTATGAAAAGACGAAACACAGTCTCGGCAAAATAGCCACACGCCCAGCACAGTGATACCAATCATGAGGGAACTGAAAACCTGGAGCTTTTCTTTTGAGGATCAGAGTCTCTTCAGCCCACGCAGGGAACCCTGTCTTTTGAGATCTGCACATGAGCGCGCTCCCCCAAATGTCTAGCTTTGAAAACCAATAGGGCCAAAGCACAGGAGATGTGCAGGTCTGTGGTAAATGGAGAAATGGTGCTTACAGGGCTCAACCTACAAACTACCCCCAAAGGGCAGCCCAGAAGGAGCCATTTGAAAAGCACCCAGACATCAGGTGAAAGAAGCTCCTTTGATCATTTTTAAGTGTGTGACTGAGCCTCAGGGACAGAGGCTGGTGGGTGCCATTTTCACACTCCGTCTTGCTAAAGCCAGTGGAAGCCATCTCTTATTTTATTTTTGGCCTTTGGGCTGCTTCTTCACACTCCAGCCAGCAGGTGCCATCTTTGTGCTATCCTTCTAAAGCTGGTGGGCGCTGTCTCTCTCCATCCAGCTCTCCCTCTCCATCCATCTCTTGCTCCCTGTTGTACACACTCGAGCTCTTTTGTTCCTAATCTGTCCCTCAGGCTTGATTTCCCTCCAGCTCTGTCCATCTCTCTCTCTCCCCAGCTCTCACAAGCACTCCATCTCTGTCGCACTCATCTTCTCTCCATCTGTCCTTTGCACACTTATTCCCCATTTCTCTCTCCTTTTCCCTCTCCTCTCTGTATGCGTGTCCATCTCCTGCTTTGTCTGTGTCTCTCCTTTTCTCTCCTTTTTATCCTTCTCTTTCTTTCTCCCTCTGTGTCTGTCTCCCTTTCTCTGTATGTGTATCTCTGGGTTGGTGCCTTTCTACCTCTCTCTCTCTCTTCCCATGTAGGTCCCAGTCTTTGTCTGTGTGTCCCAGCTTCTGCCCCTCTTCCTCCTTTTCCCCCCAGCCCCTCTGACCATCTCCCCCACTCTGTACATCTCTCTCTCATTCTTCTCCCTCATATCCCTCTACCCCCCTCCATTTGTGTGTGTCTCTCTCTCCCTTGCTCCTCTCCCCCCTCTTTCCCTCTAACCACCTCCTTATGACTCTTCATGTCTTGGTTTCAGTGTGTGTGTGTCTCTCTCTCCTTAACACTGTCCCCCTCCATCTCTCTTTATCCCCATTTCAGTGAGTACCACCCTTTGCATGCCCCCCTTGGTTTCACTCGAGCTGATGGGCCCTAACTTCACACACACCATCTGCCTCCCTACAACTCTGTAGTATTTTCCAGGAAGGAGTGCACACCTTCCCTGGCTCCCTGATACTTGCCGATGATGCTGCTAGGACACTTGTACATCATCTAGCTCTTGAGCCCATGTTGCTGACACCTACAGGTCCTACAAGCCAGTAACTAACAAGATAAAGTTCTTAAACAGCAACCACCCGCAGGAGACCACCACTCGTTCAGACCCAGGAGTTTAGTCTTTCTCTGAAAGAGGCCTATTCGCTTATCATCATAGCTACGGCATGAGGGGCGGATTTCTTAAATCAACCTCTAGGGACTGACTGTAAACCCTTCCGAGACCTTGGAGGGGAGATGCTATCTTTGTACTGTGCCTCTGCTGCTCTCCAGAGTGCTAGCATCTACTGGAGGAGAGCTCACAGATGTTTGCTGCCCCAGTTTTTACATCTGGTGAAATGGATTTTGTGGATGCTACCCAGAGGATACCCCTTGATCACAGGTTCCAGAGGCCAAAAACACTTGCATCCCGGGCTGCCACCAGACTGTATCAATCAAGAAGACCATTGTTGGTAAGCTATCCCCGGCCTGGAGCACCGCATGGACAGATTAAAACAGATCCCATCTTCCTGTGAAAAATTCCCATTTGTTTATCCTGGAACCTCCTCCTGAGGGGGCAGCCTTTAGCTTCAGCACATAGCTAGGAACCTACGGAGGGGCTCTCAGGAAACATAGTCCCAGGGATGCCATCTTGGTACTGTCCCTTTATCTCACTACAGCTCACCCATATGTCCCAGAAAGGAGCTTGTGCAGTTGTCTGAGGTCCCAGTTTTTTGACTGCCACCCAGGGGACACCTCCTGATCACGCAGCTCAGATGACTAGTGGAACTAACACTTACAGTCCCACAACACTGTGTATATGTTTGTATCCTTAACAGCTGCTGGTTGGGGAGTCTCGCTTCCAATGAGCCTGAATCAAAGTGCTAAGATTCTTACCTTTGGTACATGGATACATATTGGCACAATCTCAGATATTGGAAGCTACTGAAAATAAAATAGTCTGCTTAGAGACTCAGAAAGGTTTGAGAGACCATCAAAAGCTACAGCAACAGATGACCAATAAGGATCATCTCCTATATAAGACCACCATTTCAACAGTGGGAGAAATGGCTGTTTAATCTAATACAACAGAGGAAGATGCTCCAAACCACATAGCAAGATCAAACGTTGGAAAATAAACTTTAATAAAATGGAGAAAAGTAATTTACTTGATAAAGAATTCAAAGTAATGATCATAAAAATGCTCTCAGAACTTGGAAAAAGAACGGTCTAGTCCATTGAGAACTCCAAAAAAGAAAATATACAAAAGTATCAAACAGAAGTCACAGAGCTGAATATTTCAACAACAAAATGTGAAAATACATGAATCTTGGAACACTGAAAAAAATGAAATTAAAATATTAGAACCATTATGTAAAAAATTTGTGTGTGTATGGAATTCAACAAGAAACTAGATGGAGAAATAATCAGTGAACTCAAAGATAGGGCAGAAGAATTTAAAGTTCTTTTTTTCTTTTTGCTGCTCTGAACGTGTAAACAATTAAAATAGCTTTCAGGACATATGGAACAATGCCAAGCAGACTCACATTTGCATATATGATTCCATTATTTGTACACAAGAGGTCCCAGAAGGAGGAGAGAGACAAAGAGGCTGAAAACTTCCCGACAGGGGAAAGAAA